GGGCATCTCTACCAGGGAGAGTCCCTCCTGATAGCCTTAAAGACTTAGAGACATGAGGTTTAGAGTTCTCCCTGCACTTAGTAGCAGCAGAATGGATTTGTCCAGTTTCTAGGTATAGCTTATTTCAAGATGCTGAACAGGAAGACGATCTTCCTTCAGATCTGGGCAGATTCCAAATAAGGCTTATTCAGTGCCTAAATTTCAATTACAGCTAGTGTAGTGGAAAGAACATGGAATCTGTAGTCAACAGATAAGAATACAAGCCCTAGCTCTGCCATGAATGTACTTTTGGTAAATCACTTCCTCTACGTGAGCCTTAGTTTTTCCAGCTGTGAAATGAGGACCTTGGCCTCAATAATCTCTGTGTTTCCTTCCAAGACTGAGGTCCCATAAAGAGGACTGACTTAACCCTAGCAATCAGGAAACTTACCTAGACTGGTTGTAAGGTTTGCTTTTCCCTAATTATTCTCTGGGTGGGGTAGACACAGAGGTTGGAGCATATTAGGTTGCCCTGTGTCCCAGCATTTCCAAGCTTAACAGTAATTTTCAAGCTAAAGGATGTTCTGTGGATAGCATAATGTCAGATTCAAGAATGTGAACCTCCTGTGTTTGCTAATGCACTTTTGGAAGAATTACAGGTAGAAACTCTTCCAGTCAAGGAGAATAATGGCTGCAGTGTAAATAGAGAATGTTCACTTAGGAAAATGTTAGGCATTTAGGAAAAATCCCTGCTGTGATCCGGTAGTGCAGTTTGTCCTCTGTGCTCCTCAGCAACCAGGTTTAGGCAAGTGCACTTCTCATACTTGCACACTTACCAAAACTTGGTCCCAGAGAGGAGCATGTACCAAATAACCCCTGGACCAAGAGGATGACTCTAGAGGATTGGATTTCTTCACCAGATTTTTAAAACTTTAACAGAGCATTTGATGATGCAAAAGCCCAGTAAACCTTTTCTTTTTTTTAATTAAGCATCTGGAATTCCCATTCTTCACAATGTTATTCATAATTTGTTATGATTCACACAGTCCAATGCCGTTCGTAGTCAATAAAACAAAGGTAAACATCTTTCTAGTATTCTTTGCTTTCTCCCAAGATCCATCTGACATCAGCAATGATATCCTTCATTCCATGTCCTACTCTGAATCCAGTTGAAATTTCTGGAAATTCCCTGTCAATATGCTGCTGCAACCATTTTTTTAATTTATCTTCAGCAAAATTATACTTGTATGTGATATTAATGATTCTGTTTGATAATTTCCACATTCTGTTGGATCACTTTTCTTTGGAATGAGCAAAATTACAGATCTCTTCCAGTTGGTTGGCAAAGTAGCTGTCTTCCAAATTTCTTGGCATAAAAGAGCATTGCATCCATTTGTTGAAATATCTCAATTAGTATTCTGTCAATTCCTGGAGTCTTGTTTTTTGCCAATGAAAGTCCAAAGACTTATTTACTATGCTGTTGTTGTTGTTATGTACCATCGAGTTGGACCCAACTCATAGTGACCCCTCCTTGGGTTTCCGAGGCAGTATCACTACGAAAGTAGATTGCTCAACCTTCCTTCTGAGGAGTGGCTGGTGGGTTTGAACTGCCAGCCTTCTGGTTAGCAGTCAAGCACCTTAGGCACTAGGCTACCAGAGCTCCTATATTTACTATAGTATTAGATAAAATAATATACACATTCCTTTCAAAGCTGCATTTTAGGAAAGCGTCATTTCCGTAACCCTTTAGCTAAGCTCAAATTGCTGGGGGGTAAAAAAAGCAAAAGTGAATGAGTAAAAGTGAGAAAAAAGAGTGAGAGACACAGAGAGAGTTAGTGTTGTGGGAGGGGGAAATTCCATTAGAGGGTGAAAATTAAGTGAACAATTCAATGCACCTTTTCAGGCATCTACCTACTCACTATGTCCAAAGAAATCTATATTAAATGGTTTCTAGATTTGACTGCTAACCAGAAGGTTGGCAGTTCAAACCCACCAGCCACTCCACAGAAGGAAGACTGGCAACCTACTTCTGTAAAGATTTACTGCCTCGGAAACCCAAAGAGGGTAGCTATGAGTTGGAATCGACTCCATGGTGGTGACTTTGGTTTTGGTTTGGTTTAAATCATTTTCAGCTATAGTAAATGTTTAAGGTTTATGTGTATTTTTCTCCCAATAATGACTCGTACACAAGGTGGCAGTGCAAGGCAGTGATCTGAGTCCCTGCCAGAGGCATTGAACCTATGAGTTGTAGCTTCAGAGCTTCTAGCCTAGATAAGTGCCTTACACTGCTCACCTCAGTGCTCACCCATTAGTAACACTGCACTCCCTCCTACACACATACCCTATACTCTGGTAAATCTATTTGCTGTTCCCCCAAATGTGTCATGTTCTGTCATGCCTCTGAGAGAATTGAGGATGATGTTCTCTTTGCTGGAGTGTCCTTCTTCCTCTCTTTTCCTCATCCTTCAAAGTCCAGGCTAAATACTGCTTTCTTTATGATGTATTTCCTCACTTCCACAGAGATACTACTTGCTCCCACAGCACCCTATTCATGCTCCTATGATAGCATTTGTTTTTTTAAAAATACTGTACTATAATTATTTGTGTGCACTTCCATGATTCCAACTATGTTGGGAGATTTTTGAAGGTGGGGATTATTTTTATTCATCTCTGTGTACAGACAAATATAAGATGCTTATTTACTGGTGAATGAATGAGTAGAACAAAAGAGTAGCTGTAAATAGAAAGCATTCCTACCTTACATATTAAGAGGGAAGTCACCCCTGGGCTTGTGTTAGGGGTAGAATTGTCCTTGTCCAAGCCAAGTGAGGTTTCTAGGCTTGCTATAATTTCTATCTTAAAGGGAAATGACAAGAGTTAAAAACTGCAGTCTTGAAAATAAAATTCACTTTCTTAAAATACAGAATATCTTGGCGATGAATGCCCAGGCCCTATGGAGAAGGTTTTCCTCACTGACTCCAGCACTATGGTTATTTTCCAACTTTGCTCAGCTTGGACTCTTAGTAGGCCAAGCCATTCCTCAGCTTCTTTACAACAGGGACACAGGTATTTCATGTGGACCATGCACCTCAAATCACCAGAGTACCCTAGTGCTCAGGTAAATGGTGGGGTGCAACTGAAGCCAGTTTCTTTGGCTTAGTCTGGGGTTGATAATATATTTTATA